CATTAATTTGTATTTTCATGGTTTAGAAAATACATGATATGAGTTTTTCTTGGCACTCCCATCAATAGAATGTAGGACCCTTTAGACAACATTTTAGTTTAAGAACTGTTTTCATTTTAATTGTCCTGACTCTACTGTGACCCTCAGCAGCCCTACCCAGCAGCCCCTGGGTCACGTGTGTCAGCCAGCACCATCTGGGGTCAAGGAGTCCCAGCAGGGCTGTAAGCAGAGCAACACTGTGCCAGTTCAGAATTTCCATCTCAATGGGACCCAAAGACCCCTAGTTTCATTGACAACACTACCAGTCCCCCTCCCAGCACCACTAAGGACCAGGACTCGCTCTCCATGGGCCTCCTTGATAGGAATCGAACTCTGCACGCTCGCATCTGCACACGGCTTCCCTGGTCGGTCTCCATCTGCAACGGATTCCTCCCCGGTTCCTCAGGGCTCCTCCTTCGCGTGTTTGCTTCGCAGACACATTTTTGCTGAAGTGGAGCTCGACCGCGTGATTTCTCATTGCTGCTCCCTCGTCCTCCTGCAACTACTGCACCTCCATTGATTGTGCTCTTTCCCAAGCTATTTCCTCGTTTAGAGTGCATTTTGAGAATTAATATATTATCATATCACTTGGGTACTTTTAGTTTTCTTTTTTCCTTATGGATATTTATAATTAATCAATTCTTCTGTTTTTAAACTCAGATGTGCACATCAACTTGTGAATCATCTTCAGATTATCTGAGTTATTATTCTTGGTTTTAAGTGTCCTACACATTTCTATGTTTACTAAGTTTAATTAAAAGAAGCCCTATTTTCTGAACACAGTGTAAAAGACTATAAAATTACTATTTAAAAAGTAATACACCAGCTGTTAACCAATATATAATAAAATAATAACCAATGTATAATAAAACATGATTTTAGAATATTGTTACCTATAAAATTACCTATAAAATATACAAGATTAGCAGTTATCCATTGCAATATATGTAAGAGAAAAATAAAGTGACACTCAGGAAAAATGCAAGTAGTACATTTTAGTGTGACTGAACATCGCAAAAGCAAGATAAGCAGCTAAGAGTACTGAATGTGAGAGAGAAAACTGAATAAAGATGGCGAAACAAACTGATAACTTGCAGCGCTTAAAGTATTACAAGTGTTTTTGTGTGTGGATGTGGCTCCAGAGATCAAACTCAGGACCTTGTGCTTGCAGGGCATGCGTGGCATCACTGAGCTCAATCTCTGGCACACTTGCATTATTTTTTAATCGCTTTAAAGCTTACGGGTACGTGTTTGTTACACAATGGTTATGTTCATCATTGGGATCTTGTTCCTTTACATGACTTACCTTGTTCTTCTTTCTCCCCACTTCCCACCTCTCCCTTCAGCCCCTCCACCCTTCCTGGTTTACAGAGATATTCTTTCCACGTGTTTCCTTTTCACATGCTTTTTCTTTCCTCTTTTAATTTCCCCCACCCCTCCCTCTTCCACTACTCTTTTAAACTTTTTCTTCCTATTATATAATATCAATCGTACATTTCAATTGCACTTTTAGCTTTTCACACCAAGAAACCATTCTGTATTTACAGATGTGTGACTTCTTAATTTCACTTAACAATATGGCTTCAACGTGCGTCCACATGGGTATAAATATCCCTAGGTTCCTGTTCTTTATGTCGAGTAGTATTCCATTTTTTTAAAAAAAAATTTTTCAGCTTTAATTGAGTTTATTGGTACATTTCAGGGATACAGTACAGTTACATTCATTGTTGGGATCTTGTACCTCTACATGACAAGTCTTGATTCTCATTTTTTTCACCTTACCCCTGCCCTCCCTTTACCCCCTCGTCCCCTCCCCATCTAAAAACACTTTATTTCCATTTTTTCATTATCTCACATTTTTTTTCTTTTCCCTTATTACCCTTCCCCTACCCATCTCACCTTCCCTACACCCATTTTATAAAGAAAAACCATACCATCTTTATCCAATCTTGGGTTGATGGTCAATTGGGCAATTTTCAGTTTTGAGCTATTACAAACTGTGCCACTATAAACATGGGTGACCATATATCACTGCCATAAAATTCTTTTAATTCTTTTGGGAAGATGCCCAGCAGAGGAGTAGCTGGTTCAAATGGTACCTCTAATCCTAGTTCTTTGAGGTATCTCCATATTGATTTCCACAGTGGTTGCACCAGTCTGCACTCCCAGCAGAAATGAAGAAGGGTTCCTTTCTCCCCACAACCCTGCCAGCATTTTTTATTGGTTGATTTCTTCATAGCAGCCATTCTTTCTGGGGTGAGGAGAAATCTCAGTGTTGTTTTCATCTGCATCTCATGAATGACTGGTGATGCTGAACATTTCTTCATATGTTTATTTGCTGCTTTTACTTGTCTGAAAATGTGTATATTGTGGGAGCCCGATCATGGCCCTCTAGGAGTTGGACATTTAAAAGGAAACTTCTTCACCTCTGCACTCAAGGCATTGATACAATCTGTAACATTCTAGGACTCAGCTTGTTAAACTTGTTGCTGCAAAGGAAGAAACTCAAAGAGACAGCCATAGATCTGATGTTCTTTGCAAAGAGTCAGAAATTCCGGTCTTTGCATAAAAGATACAAATAGTTGCTTGCTGCTTCCTGTTGATGTGAACCTATAAAAGGAGCTGTTTCTGTGAAATAAATCAGACTTCTCTTGGTCTCCACTCAGGCTTGAGTGTTCTTTCCTTTCTCAATCCTCACTCCCCGACTCAGGCATGTTCGTGTTGTGACTGCTGGACCGCCACAGTATATATTTCAGATTCCCATTTTTGAATTGGGTTTTTTATTTGGGGGGGGTCTGATTACTTTGAGTTATTTATATATTCTAGATAGTAGATCTTGTCTGAGGATCAGCTGTTAAAAGTGTTTTCCCAGGTTATGGGTTGTCTCTTAGCTCTGTTCATGATTTCTCTCTCTGGCAATAAAGAAACGTCTAAAAAAGGTGAGATCCCATTTGTTGATTATCTGCGCTAGTTCTCATGCTACTGAGGATTTGTTCATAAAGTCGATACCTTCAAGAGATCCATCTAACTTATGTTCCAGCAAGTTTAGTGTTTCTATTTTAATGTCTATATTTTCAATTTATGTTTTCTTCAGATTTTAATGCTTTCTACTTATTTTTCTAGGGAATAAGCATTATGTCTATGACAAAGTCATTCAAGTATAAAACATTTCCAGGTGAAAATTTTTAATGTTCCATCTTTCAAAGTGTCAAATGTAAAGAAAGTATGACACAAGTAATCTCTTCTCTAACTTTCTAGTAAAAAAATCCTGATTCATGGCTCAGATGTAAACATTATTCCTGGCAAGTATATATGACTATATGTCAATTTAAAAAATAAATAGATGAATTTCAACAGAAACCTGAAGCATAACATAAGAAGATAAAGTGTTTATGTTCTAAATGTGGAACTTCTAACGGAAAAGACAAAATCTTGTGCTCATTAAATCCTTGAGCTTTTCTCCTGGGAATCGGGCCAAGGAACCTTCCCTGGAAATTGCTCCCCGAGGCTGTGCAAAGGCTGCAGTGTCCTGAATGCAGTGTATATGAGGCTGACTGGGAGGAGAGGCACGCACTGCTCTGTCTCCGTTCACAGCTCCTCCTCAGACTCTTCTCAGAGGAAACTCACTGTATGAATTCCTGTTTTATTTGTGAGAATATTTTGTATTTTGTTTTTGACAAATTTCTGAAAAGAAAACACTGGAATACAGGTATTTCAGCAATTTTGGTGCATAGCACGTAGAACTAGAGGGGATTGTACTAGATAAAATCATAGGGGATTTTATTTTAAAAATATGGGGAAATAGCATTTGGACCTCACATTAGTCATGTTCAGAATTGCGAAAAGAGGAATAAAGAGTTTGTGAAATCAAAGTACTAAAGCAATATACATATTCTAAAATATAATTTTTGAGGAAAATTGATTATGACAGGGGAAGTTAAAAATCACATTGTTATCACAGCTGAGGGTCCATACTGCCTCTGGCTGCCTCAAAATATATCAGGAAATATTATTTTAGTGGAAAGTAAAGGGTTTCATTTACTCCATAGAAGAGACAGAAGCCTCTTCTCCCTACAAATTTCGATCTCCCTGAGTTAATTTTTGGCAGGGCTTTTATGTCCAGGTGACACCAAGCTCGCTGCCTCCATTTTCCAAGCTAATGTAGACATGACCTCCTGTGGTGGAGCCTGAATATTCTTTTTAGGGAGGCATGATGTGTTTCAGACTGAGCATTGTTTCAGTGTGGAGTCCTTTCGGTAAGGACAGGAAGAATATTCCTGCTCTCTCTCAGGGAAAGCTGGAGAAGCACCCCATTTTTAAAAATTGAACAGATTTAAAGATTAAATTAGTTGTCTCTGTTGCTATATGTAGAGGAATGTAATGTTAATATGAATCAACTAAATCATCAGACTGAAATAACATTAGAAAGTATGATAAGTCATTGGGAACAAAAGAACCATGAATAACACACGAAAAATGATTTTCAGCATGGTCAATTATAGGACCTCATTCAGGATTGGTAAAACAAGTTCCGATCAGGAACACATATTGTGAGTCTGCTATCAGAAGTAAAAATATCCAGGTAGAATCAGTGCAATATGTACCTGCTCTGTTTCACATAAGTAATCTCTGTGCCCTTTTTCTAAAGTGAAGGATGTGGATAAGTGTTGCTATGGTAAAATATGTTCCTGAGAATTGAATGTCTTAATAATGGAAACAGTTTAGAATAGCAACAGTTTCTTGCTAAAAACAGGATGTAACCCTGTAATATATCAGAAAGCAGTGTCATTTTATAACCATATATATACGTGGTGATTGAATTGTAATTTTTCAATGTGTCTTCTTCACATTAATGGTTTTCATTAATTTCTAATAAGCCTATAAGAGTACTAAGCAATTCACATACATAAAATATTTTTGGAGAAAAGGTAATTATTGAAATTTATTATTCACCAGATAAGTACACCAGGACATCATGGTTAGAAGGAACTTCACCAACGTGCCTGACTTCATCCTCACGGGGCTGACGGACTCTGCAGAGACACAGCTGGTCCTCTCTGTGCTCTTCCTCCTGATTTACTTGATCACAGTGCTGGGTAACTCAGGGATGATACTGATCATCCGCCTGGATCCCCAGCTCCACACCCCCATGTATTTCTTTCTCACCCACCTGTCATTTCTGGACCTCAGCTACTCAAGTGTCATCACCCCTAAAACCTTACAGAACTTACTGACTTCCACCAAGAGCATCTCCTTCCTGGGCTGCTTCACCCAGATGTTTTTTTTTGTAGTTTTCATTGCTACTGAAGGTTTGCTTCTCTCCTCCATGGCCTATGATCGCTATGTAGCTATCTGCAGCCCCCTGAACTATCCAGTCATTATGTCCACAAGACTGTGCCATGCCCTGGTCACTGGCTCCTATGTTATGGGCTTTGCATATTCTATTGTGATTGAGATTTCCATGACCAGACAGCACTACTGCAACTCAAATGTCATCCAGCACTTCTTCTGTGACACCACTCCTATTTTAGCCCTGTCCTGCAGTGACACTTCTGAGGCTGAAATCACTATATTCATTTGTGCTGGGGCTAATTTAGTGCTGTCCCTCATCACCATATGTGCTTCCTACATGTTCATCCTCTTCACTATCCTCAAAATTAATTCCACTGCTGGAAAGAAGAAAGCCTTCTCCACCTGTGCCTCCCACCTCCTGGGAGTCACCATCTTCTACAGCACCATGATCTTTACTTACCTAAAACCGAAGACGTCCTACTCCTTGGGCAGGGATCAGGTGGCTTCTGTGTTTTACACGATTGTGATCCCCATGCTGAACCCTCTCATTTACAGTCTCAGAAACAAAGAGGTGAAGAATGCTGCCCTGAGAGTCCTGTGGAAGAGAGGCAAATCCTAGATAATTAAAATAATAGTGATTGTAGTAGTTTACATTTTTCCTCTTGTCTTTTTCTCTTCTAAGAAATTCTTCATTTTCATTGCAATGATATTAAATCTCATTTCCCTTTCCAGCTGCTCTTTACCTGACAAGCATGATCTTGGATATGAGAGACAGCTACTTACCAATTCATGTTGTAATTTGGAGTCTCCATTTTATTCTTAAACCTAGGCATAAAAAATCTGCTCTATTAAGGAAAATTTTTCCATAATATGTGAAATATTTTTAGTTTTTAAAATATATCTATATAATTTTTCTGCAAACCTTAATTAAAAATATTTTTTCCAGTGAAAAAGCACTTCATTTTTCATACGTCATTGTTTTCACAGTGATTTTCAGCAGCAAATTTGGGGTAATTTCTTTCAGGTTAAAATTACTGCTTTTAGTTTCTACATCTGGTGCTTTGGTAGCATTTGGCAAACACTAATTCACTGAAGTAATAAGGTATGTGTGCCCTCCTGCATGGCATATAATAATTCCATGTCTTTCTCATCAGAGGATAAAAATTAATCTTTTAAGACAATAAAATAAGTGCCACCCATTATCATCAGAAAGCCTGGAATCCTATTCTATTTTGACACTACATATTTCTGAGTAGTATCTTTTATGTTTTGCAAATCTCTTTTATTCAACTTAGTTTACACACTAGCACAAAAGAACAGGTTTCTACTTTAGGATCAGGTAACATACTAAAATAGAATTAAGTTATAGGAGAGTGATAGATCTTAATGTTGAAGACAATTTACAAAATGATGATTTTTATCTAAAAGAGAAATACACATCCACTGTTGCCTCTTTTGTGCATATTTTTATAAATTGGTGGTCATTATTATATGTCCATACATATTTAGCACAATTTCTGTCATTTCCTGTGTAATGTTCACCTCTTTCTTTATTCACCTTGAAGTTTACTATCTAATATACTCTGTAAAATTAAAACATGTAATATCATCATGCATTCAACACAGGGCAAAAATTACTACTTACACTGTATAGAACCTGGAATCTGAAATGTACTGAATTTGCCAATTTGGAATTCACTGAGCAATAGTAACTGTTAGGTGGGTTCCTCTACGCCATGTGGAGACCAAACCTTTCATCACTTTAGGTTGCCAAAATTCAACATTTTTTTTCAAGGATTAAGATTTATCAATTACTTAATAATTTAAGACTGTTAATTATTTTGTCCAAATACTTTAAAATGTAATATATTTTCAAATCAGTGACAAAATTGTGCCTTGTATTATATAAATATTACTTCTAATCTTATTTATTGCACTTGAATATTTCTCATTTGTACAATCTATATTTGTAGATTTTCCTGGTACTTTTTTTCTGTGATTAGGATTAAGAATTTAATAAATCTTTACTGTTTGATAAATTCAAAGAGCTCTTCTCTTACCTCATAACGATCTTAGTAATTTCATATATTTAGTTTCCACACTTCAGGCTTTTATATAAGGAATAGTTTTATCTTACACTCATTAATTTATATTTTCATGGTTTAGAAAATACATGATATCAGTTTTTCTTGGCACTCCCATCAATAGAATGTACGACCCTATAGACAACATTTTAGTTTAAGAACTGTTTTCATTTTAATTGTCCTATCTCTACTGTTACCCTCAGCAGCCCTACCCAGCAGCCCCTGGGTCACGTGTGTCAGCCAGCACCATCTGGGGTCAAGGAGTCCCAGCAGGGCTGCAAGCAGAGCAACACTGTGCCAGTTCAGAATTTCCATCTCAATGGGACCCAAAGACCCCTAGTTTCATTGACAACACCACCAGTCCCCCTCCCAGCACCACTAAGGACCAGGACTCGCTCTCCATGGGCCTCCTTGATAGGAATCGAACTCTGCACGCTCGCATCTGCACACGGCTTCCCTGGTCGGTCTCCATCTGCAACGGATTCCTCCCCGGTTCCTCAGGGCTCCTCCTTCGCGTGTTTGCTTCGCAGACACATTTTTGCTGAAGTGGAGCTCGACCGCGTGATTTCTCATTGCTGCTCCCTCGTCCTCCTGCAATTACTGCACCTCCATTGATTGTGCCCTTTCCCAAGCTATTCCCTCCTTTAGAGTGCATTTTGAGAATTAATATATTATCATATCACTTGGGTACTTTTCGTTTTCTTTTTTCCTTATGGATATTTATAATCTATCAATTCTTCTGTTTTTAAATTCAGATGTGCACATCAACTTGTGAATCATCTTCAGATTATCTGAGTTATTATTCTTGATTTTAAGTGTCCTGCACATGTCTATGTTTACTAAGTTTAATGAAAAGAAGCCGTATTTTCTGAACACAGTATAAAATTAATCACAGACTATAAAATTAATATTTAAAAAATAATACACCAGTTCTTAACCAATATTTTTAAAATAAAACATGATTTTGGAATACTGTTACAGTTACGTATAAAATATACACGAATAGTGGTAATCCATTGCCATATATATAAGTGAAAAATAAAGTGACACTCAAAAAAATTGCAAGTAGTACATTTTAGTTTGATTGAACAGAGCAAAAGCAAGATAAGCAGCTAATAGTACTAAATATGAGAGAGAAAACTGAATAAAGTTGGGGATACAAACTAATAAAATCGACCAATTAAGTTGTATGTGTATTTCTGGGGATCAAATTCAGCACCTTGTGCTTGCGAGGCAGGCTGGTATCACTGAGCTAAATCTCTGGTCCGTTTGTACTATTGTTTTTTTATCTTTTTAAAGTTTATTGGTACATTTTAGGTATACAATACAGTTACATTCATCATTGGGATCTTGTACCTTTACATGACAGGTCTTGGTTCTTATTTTCTCTATTCCTCTGCCCTCCCTTCTCCCCCTCTACCCTTCCTTGTTTACAAAGACTTTGTTTCCCTGTTCTCCCTTTTCACATATTTTTTTCTTTTTCCTTTTACCTACCACTTTCTCTTCCTCTACTCTTTTAAACCTTTTGCTGTAATGTAATATCAGTTATGCATTTCAATCCTTATTTACACATTTAGTTTTTCACAATAGAGAAACTACGCGACATTTGCATGTGTGACTTCTTAATTCCACTTGAGTATTGGGCTTGAGGGCCAAGGATTTAGCTTAGTGTTTCCACTGCCTGCCTCCCAAGCACTAGGTCCCAAGTCCATCCCCAGTACCAAAACAACAACAACAAAAAAGTATGGCCTCAACGTGCATCTACTTAGCTATAACTATCTCTAGTTTCTTGTCCTTTATGGCTGAGTGGTACTCAATTTTCTAAAAATAAATAAACAAATAAAGCCCACATCTTTATCCAATCTCCAGTTGATGGTCAATTGCTTCTAAATATGAGCCATTACAAACTGTGCGGCTATACACATGGGTGAGCATATATCGTTGTTGTAAGATTCTTCTAATTCTTTTAGGAAGATGCCCAGCAGAGCAATAGCTGGCTCAAACGGGCTTTTTAATCCTATTTGTTTTAGTTATCTCCATATTGATTTCCACTGTGGTTACACCAGTCTGCACTCACAACAATGAAGAGGGGTTGCTATCTCCACAAAACTCCACCAGCATTTTTTATTGATTGACTTCTTGATAGCACCCATTCTTTGTGGGTTGAGGTGGAATCTCAGTGTTGTTTATATCTGCATCTCTGGAATGACTGGTGATGTTGAATATTTTTTCATATGTTTATTTGCTGCTTTTACTTCTTTGAGAAATATCTGTTCATTTCAGATGCCCATTTTTGAATTGGGTCTTTTTATTCAGGAGGTCTCATTATTGTGTTATTTATATATTCTAGATAGTAGATCTTCATCTGAGGAATAGCTGGTAAAAAATTTTCCCCAGATTCTTGGTTTCCTCTTAGCTCTGCTTGTGATTTCTCTGGCAGTAAAGAAACAAAAAAATTGAGATCATGTTTGTTGATTCTTTGTGCTAGTTTCCATGCTACTGAGGATTTGTTCATAAAGTCAATATCTTCAAGAGTTCCACCCAACTTATCTTCCAGCAAGTTTAGTGTTTCTATTTTAATGTTTATATCTTAAATCCACTAGGATTTTAGTTTAGTGCATGGTGAAAGATATGGGTCTAATTTTAGTCTTTCACAGTGAAAGCCAGCTTTTCCAATGCTGTTTATTAAAGATATTTTTGGCTCCTTTGTTAAAGATGATGTAGTTGAGTATATCAGGAGTTGTTTCTGCATCTTCTAATCTGTTCTACTGATCTCAAGTCTGTTCCTTGCCAGTACCATGATGTTTTTATCACACTGGCTTTGTGATATAGGTTCAAGTTTCAAGTTAGGGATGTTATACTCCCTGCCATGTATCTGTTGCCTAGAATGGCTTTTGCTAGTCTAGGTGTCTTCTGATTCAAAATGAATTTTTGGATTGTTTTCTCTAGTTCTGTGAAATACACTGTTGGGATTTCAACAAGGATTGTGCTGAGTCTGTATAGAAGTTTTGGAAATATGGCCATTTTTACTATATTGATTCTTCCTACCCAGGAACAAGGGATATCTTTCCATTTTCTTATAATCCTCTGATCTCTTTTGTCAGAGTGTTATAGTTCACAATGTAGAGGTCTTTTGTTTCCTTCCTTATACTGATTCCTAGATATTTCATTTTCTGTATGCTATTATGAAATGAATTGTTCCCCCAATTTCACTTTCAAGGAATCTGTTATTTGTGTAACAAGAAGGCTATTGATTTTTGATTATTTACCTTGTATCCAGCTACTTTAGTGAACCTGTCAATTAAGTCTAGAAGCCTTTTGGTGGAGTTTTTTGGGGGGAGGTCTTCTACATCATGTAGAGTATCATCAGCAGATAGTGACACTTCACTTCTTCCTTTCCTATCTTTATTGGTTTTATTTCTTTCACTTGTCTAATTTCTGTGGCTAATGTTTCAAGACTATATTGAACAGGAGTGGTGATAGTGCACTTACTTTTCTTGTTATTGATTTTAGCATTATGCTTTTCATTTTTTTG